AGCAGTTTATACGTTGAGGGGCGGACAGAGACATTTTGAGTTAGGGGAGCACAATAAAATCTCTTACAAATCGAATACTTTGTTCTTCTTTTATGAATGATTCATAATTAATTCGAGACATTGCAGATTTACATTTAAAAAACCTTTCTTCATTAATATTTTGCTAATCATTTTCATCCATTTGATTTCGATGAGTCATTTTATTAATATTTTGTTTATCACAAGAAAATGTATATTTACGTTTAAAAATCTTATAATGTATTTGATACAAACAATCATTTCAAGTAATCGAAAGAAAAAAACATATAACTAATATTCAATACTAATAATTAATCAAATAAACACAATTCGTTAAATATAAGTCAAATTGGATATGATGAGTTCAAACACATTCTATATACATAGTTTGATATGAGAAAAATGCAAATTTAGGTTCTAATTACTTGAAAATTTGATTGAAAAATGAAGATTTGTAGTAAATGTGATAATTTGTAGAGAAATTATATATAAATTTTAAAAAATTAGAAGGGTTAAGATTTTGTTGAAAGATGAGAGGAAAAGAGTAAGAGAGAGCAAGAGAAAAGAGAAAAATTCAAATTTATTGTGAGATTAAAATCAAATTTTTAGTAAATTTTGATAATAATTAAATAGTTATGAAATATGTTATTAAAATTAATTATTAATTTTGATTTAAATTAAAATTTAGATTTCAATCAATACAAAACACAACTTAAAAAAATGTTGTGGTGTCACGTGACCTCCCAAGACCCCTCGGGTCTGCCCCGTATACGTTACAAATTATGCCTATGCATTAAAAATATTGATTTCATCACTATAATAGAACGTTCTTACCATGTGTGAAATTTTTAATCGAACTCTATTCGGTTTGATTCCCATGAGAATCCATCCCTACAAGATAACTATCAAAGGGCCATCTCTATTATGTAACATATATTTCGGGGCATTAACGAGTGAATAGAAAGGAAAAAACACAAGATGAATTCCACTTTCGATTTACAGAGACATGCTCTAAAAATAGCCCAGTTTATGAAGATTCTTATCTGATGAATATCAAT